CCCCAAAACCCCAAAACCCCAGATAGCGTGGATTAATGTTGGTAATTAGTTTGATTTGAATTGAATTTAAAATAAAATAATTCGATTTAAGTTACAAATGAGCAATAAAACTGGAAAGGTAACTCATTATATTTAGCCATATTGATGGTTTATAGTTTGTGGATCTAGCATCATTATCAATGACAGGTAGTTTAATGCCTTCAATTCCTCATTAGCTTCTATTGAAGTTTAATCCCCCGAAGATTACAATGATTTATCACTTTGAAAATAATGATAAAGAGAAGTATTATCACGATATTTATGTTGAGAGGCGAATGCTGGAAAGCATGACTGATGACGAGATTGCTACTCATCTTTTCATCAGTGAAGATTACTACTTTAACCCTAAATATCTAAAAAGAGCCCAAGTAAGAATTAAAACATTCATCCATTGATTATTGTCTAAATACCCTTGTTTTAGGTATTGCGCCTTGTTTAAAAGTTAAAAGAGGGACTTAAAAATCCACCTAAAAACAAAAGAGGTCAGCAACAGATGCAGAACAAATAACAACAGCCACATAAAAATTAGCCTTTGCAAAATTTGCAGCTGTAACAAACAAATAGCTAATTATCAGACGGCTAATCTCCACCAAACGAAACTTTAGAGCAAAGGAATTCTCGAAAGAACTTTTTGTAGCGAAGAGGATTCTATAATTATGAATAGCAGCCAGAAGATTAAAACGAAAGTCAAGATAATAAAAATCAAAAGCAGTTCGAGGAAGATCCAATAATTTAGGGCAGAAGTTCAAGCAAATCTCCATCTCATGATATGAGAAAACCCGTGCATTAGAAGCTAGCTCCACTATCTCAAGGGTTAAATCTGCCTAGCTTAAAATCTTAACAACAGCAGTAGCAATAAAACTTCAATAATTCAGCAAGCTTAAACCAAAGCTAGGGAAATCCTAATCTTAACTTAAGTAGCAATAGCTAGTAGCCTCACTTTGCTCACTCGCCTTAACAAAACAGAAACAATAATAACTAGAGTAGTACATCACAAAATAACATGATGAGAAATGGTGGGGGCTAAGGGGTAAACGAGAATGGCTATGATGACATCCTAAACATGGTCGATTTTGAAAGTGATAATGATCATCAAATGGATCAAAACTCTAGAGGTAATGTCAATAGTCAATTGAGCTACTAATAATAACCTGAGCATCAAAACTATGCTTATTAGTAGCCATAGAATTAAAATCAAAGTTTGACTAACTAGGGTCAACTTTAAAATCAAGGATTCAATTACATGAATTAGCAAATGAACGATTACGCAGATCCATATGTGAATGATCAGTACCTAATGGGCGGACATAGTAATTAATAGATTGATGACTTCAACCTCGGTAATGAAACTAGCTTGACTTAAAATGACTAAGTAGAGGGCGATGGCGAGGAAGAAGAGAGTGTTTACATTAAGGATAATATAGTAATGAGAAGAATTCAGATAGAAGGAGAGGATTAGGAATACTTAATGGATCCAGAAGGAAATATTTATGATATGCAGGGAAATTTCATAGGAACTGCAAATACTAACGAGCTTCAAGACGGAGATAATGAGGATGATAACATTATGTGAAGAACTAATACAAATCAGTCTGATATTTAGACTTAGTTAAGCAAGGGTAGGTAATAAATCAACCAGCTATTTAGTTAAGTAATACAATTAATAATTATCAATAATTCTTGTGAGTTAAAGAGGATTTTTCAATAGGGGTTTTGGGGTTTTGGGGTTTTGGGGTTTTGGGG